GGTCTTTTGGCTTGGGTTTGGGCTGGAAATGAGAGAAAATCCAGGAAAACTTGGGGCTGAAGATGATTTAGAATGAGATTTATTGATGGTTTAACCTGCTGCAACCGTGTAGTTCCCAGGTTTGATGATCCCGAATGACTTTAGCATAGACGAAACCACCAATCAGTTGAGGTTTCATGTACTTTAACCAGGTATAAATATCGCAATATCAAATAGAGATCTATATAGTTTTACCGTTTTACCCAAACCTTGGATTTGCCAGAAAACGTTGTTTTTTTCACCAACCCAGAAAAATAACAATGATTGATTTTACCCCTAGGTCAATTGTGGATTACCACTACTCTGGAAAACATTGAGAGCTCAACGGGGGTTGACACAACAGAATGAGAAGGTTATTGGATAAAACACGGTTGGATTTAAGTCTAATAAGTTTAAGTAATGTTTTTAAGTTTATGTTAAATTTATTAGACTTAAGGTTAACTTAGAATACTAATAATTATATATATACATATATTGCAAGGGATTCCAATAGCCATTAATTCTTGAGGTCAATGGACACATCTAAACATACACGGGACGTTTTATGGCGATGCGATGGGAAATCTGTAGTGCAGTAACTCAATGACTTTGATTGTTGGTTGATGTTGGTGAAGAGGTTTCGTTGTAAAGAAAAAACATCAACTGTTAAACAAACATCAACTGAAATTATAATATTCAAAATGACAAAAAATGTCAGAATCACCACACATTGATTTAACCACGATGCAATCAAACTACAAGGAAAATAAATGGGATCTGGGGTTAGTACTGTGATGGCATGCATGGCTATGACGAAGCATTTCGGGGGGTGATCTAATGGTCATCTAACAGATAGGAGATGGGTCTTTTTAGCCGAACCATTGGTCGAAATTCGGGCGGATGATTATCACTAGGACCAGGAGGGTAGTGGGCTTTTGAAGGGTTTGGATCCATAGCAACGATCTGACTGAACTTAGGACCTCACAATCAGACCCACCACAATTGTATGTAGTAACTACTGGGTCAACGACCATTTCGCGGCCGTGGGAAAAATGCTCATGATGTGAATAGAAAATCAGCACGCCGCTATAGCGAAACAATGATTTTGCACATCCGGCATGTGAAAATGCATCATCGTCGTTTCAGAAAACTACTTGTTTTTTCATCATGATAATGAACATCATCTTCATCATCATCATCATCATCACCATCACCATCATCATCATCATCATCATCATCATCACCATCATCATCATCATCATCATCATCATCATCTTCATCTTCATCTTCATCTTCATCTTCATCTTCATCTTCATCATCACCATCATCAAATCGTCATCATCATCATCATCGTCATCATCATCATCATCATCATCATTATCATCATCATCACCATCATCATCATCATCATCAGCATCATCATCTTCAGCATCATCACTATCATCCCCAGGATCATATAGATCGTCAGCAGCTGCAGCGTCAGTTTCTTTCACTGTCCAGGCAAAAATGTCCCGCACCCCTCCACCGCCAAGCCCTTCTTGCACGTAATCGGTAGTCATTTTTCCAACAATGTGTGCCATCTCTACACAAGTGAAATCTGTTATGACATGCCCTCCACCCTCTCTACCCATCATCCCAGATTGTGCCACTATCAAGGGTAACGGGGACATGCCAACCACCGACGCGCCCCAACCTTTCAGTAAGCGTAGCACTAACAATTGCGTGCAGTATCTTTATCAAGGAACGGTCCTAACATCCCCACCCCAACATGAATGCCCGTCAGTAACGAAGCATCGGACATGGTGTCCAACTTACAAGGGACACTGTTGATAAACCATGCCCCACCCCACCACAACCCTTCAGCTGCGTAGCATCCAACATGTGTGCCACTTACAAGGAACGTTAACATGCCCCACCCCACCCCAACCCTTCAGTAACGTAGCATCCAACATGTGTGCCACTTACAAGCAACGTTAACATGCCCCACCCCACCCCAACCCTTCAGCTGCATAGCATCCAACATGTGTGCCACTTACAAGGAACGTTAACATGCCCCACCCCACCCCAACCCTTCAGTTGCGTAGCATCCAACATGTGTGCAACGTACAAGGAACGTTAACATGCCCCACCCCACCACAACCCTTCAGCTGCATAGCATCCAACATGTGTGCCACTTACAAGGAACGTTAACATGCCCCACCCCACCCCAATCCTTCAGTTGCGTAGCATCCAACATGTGTGCAACGTACAAGGAACGTTAACATGCCCCACCCCACCACAACCCTTCAGCTGCGTAGCATCCAGGCTCACTTCGCAAGGAACGATCATGCCGTTTCCCACACCACCCGGGCGAAGTGGGGATTCAGTAACGTAGCATCCAACATGTGTGCCACTTACAAGGAACGTTAACATGCCCCACCCCACCCCAACCCTTCAAAAACGTTCAAAACGCAGAAAAAAGCCACTTCGTGCCACGGCCGTGCAGTGGTCGGTGTGCAACTACTGTATACAAACAGTGGGGAAATCATCACGCAACCAAGCAGCAAAGGGAGTATAACGTATAACCCGGAAAACAAACAATGCGCAAATTTTAGCACTAAACCATCCTGCTTTTAGGTTACCCAACGACTTGACCCATACCCGTGTCCCCATAATCGCATTCTTGTTTTTTCAAGTCGCATGAAATCCATTAATGTTCGATGCTTAAACCAATCTTTTTGATGCCTAAATTTGGATGATATCTTTGTTCTAAATGGTTAAATGACTGTTATCATCTGTTCTCCAGCTCTTGCGCGTCCTTTTCTTTTTGAAATCCCTGTGGATCTCAGCAGCTACCCCCGGATCTTGCGGTCACCTCAGGACTTTCTTCGGCACTTTAGCTCCTTGACATCGAGGGGATGGGTCGGGCAACCTAAGACCATCGGTTGATAGGGGGAACATTTACTGGTTGGTGGTTTGGAACATTTGGATTATTTTTCCATTCAGTTGGGAACAATAATCCCAACTGACTTTCACTCCATCATTTTTCAGAGGGGTAGGTATACCACCAACCAGATTATGTTTTTTGTTGATTAATGGATTAATGGGATATTCATGGTATTTTATTGGAATTCATGGTATTAGTGTGGGACATTAACGGATTTGGGGATATAACATTCACACTCCTTTGATCAATCTGGGCAAATTATCACGACCTCACTGGGACCGAACCCTGGAATCATTGTTTATAAGAGGAATCATCCCAAAATGGCCGCAAGTTCAGGCTAGTGAATTATTATGATTTTCCCAGATCAATGGGATATTAGTATATATTAGTGGGATACTAATGGTAATTATTCTATTTGTTGGGATGTACAATCAAGAATCTGATTTGATATGAACAACAAGAAGTAGGGGATTTGGCCACCATCCGAAAAAGGGTTTCCATGACGACATATGGTAGTTGATGTTAGTTGTATATCCGATATTCCCATTAAAAAAAGAACCATTAACATCGATTACGTTCCATTAAAATCCATTAGTCGTTATAGTTATAATGAATAAATGCGCCATTTCCATAGCTATGAAGACTTATGAAGATCAGGGTGGGTAACTTGAGTACAACTTTGCTCTGGGGTTTGAGCACGGTTAGATGATTGTCACAAAACACTTTTCTGATATCATTTGGACTTTAGATATATTTTTCTTGGGGCTCCAGGAAAACCAGATCTTTTGAAAACAGTGAAGCTATGCTAAGCTATAAGATTGCTTTTTTGACTTCCAAAGGTATTGGTTCATCAAATATCCAAAGCCATCACAAATCCATACCAATCCCAACCCCTTCAATTCCCCTCAACAACACCAAACAACTCCCAGCTCCCAATTCAATGCACTCAGAATTTTGGTGGGTTCAAATATGTTTTCCATCCCTAAACATAGGCTGGTGATCCCCATTTTGATCGGTACTTCACATGATTTGACATCATTTCGTTAAACTTCCAAAATCTCCACCCCAACCCCCAAGCCCATCCGCAGTCGAGGTAAATTGCCTCCCTTCGTCACCCGCTGCCTCACTCTGCCGTGCACCAAGACGCAGCGCGCCGCGCTGCGGTGCGTCCTGAACCTGGCGCGCTGCCCAGCGTTGCGCGCCCAGCTCGGTCTGGCGCTGCCTCGGCTGCTGGAACTGCTAGAAGTGGAGGAGCTGCGAGGTGCGGCGGCTGGGGCCTTGTGCAACGTGGCATGTGAAGCAACGGCGCCTTGTTTGAAATCGTTTCGTGAAGCTCGCCGGAATTTCCGCATGTTGATGTTTTCTTGGTGCTTTTTTTTTGGGATGGGACGTGGTTTCTTGATGTTTGACGAGGAAGATGTTCTCTGGGTTTCACAGTTTTTTTGGTTTAGAATGACTTTTTTCATGGGCAGGTGACCACCAGAAAAGCATCGCTGATTTTTGGGGGTTCCCCAAGGTACGTCCAAAAGCCCGAGTGGCCGTGCCAGTGTTGCTCTCAGCGTTGCCAAGCGCGGGGAATGAGGTGCTCCAAAAATCTGAAGTGAAGCCCAATTTTCATCCAAATCATTGATCCATTTTAGCATTGAAACATGTTGAAACCCATGGTTTCTTGGGGGGTCCAGCATTTTTTCCGAAACCCCTGGTGAAGTTGTCACCGATTTCGGACAGCAAAAAAAACCTGGTGAAGTTCGATGATTCTCCCAGCGAAAACAAAAACACTTCCATGTTTGATCATGTTTGATGGGGATCTTTGGGGGTTCCCATTTTGGATCATCAGACAACACACCAAGGGAATTTTTGGACGAAACGAAAAACATTGGACCACTGAAGAATGGATCAAGGAATTCTCAGTTTGTCTGCGATTTTTTGGGGCCAAAAAAAAAGGAATTCCGCCCTCTCCGAGAATTTGGTGGTGAAGATGTGCTGTGAGCCAACCATGTTTCATGCCACGTCTTGAAATAAACAAATGGTTTCTTTACAGACTCAAAGAATTATACTTGCAGAATCTTGCATCAACGAATTGCCCTTAAAACAGGGTATTCTCCAGTGAACATATGGAAAACATGCGAACACCCATGGGTTTCCGGAGGCAGAGGATATGATTGCAGCCCTTGGTGTTCTGGCAAAAGATGCGGATGCCGCGACGATGGACACTATGGCACCTTTGTGGCACTTTTGATGTTCCCCCGCGCTGGTTCGCCTCTGAAGTCTCGGGATCCGATAGATCATGATGGCGGAGTGGATAGCCATATATGCCATATCTGGTTGGTGCTTTGGAAGAGTTTTTTTTTCCATTCAGTTGGGAGTGTCATAGTCCCAACTGACGAACTCACTCCATCATTTTTAAGAGGGGCAGGTATACCAGCAACCAGTCATAACATATCATAAGCCAATTGTGAAAGATCCGTGATCTCTAGTGGTGTATGGGATGTAATTGTTCTATAATGCATATGTAAAGCAATAGGATCCACCGTATCCACCATTATTTCAAATGGAGTTGTTTTTCTTTTACCATGTCTAATACATCAACAGGTTGATGCAACTATAAATGATACATATAAACCAACCATAGTTTATCATAAACCAACCATCCATATCCATATAAACTATAAATGGTTGGTTCATGATTGCTGCCGCTGCAGGTGGAGCCACTGCTGGCGTCTCTGCCGGACTTGACCATGCAATCGCAGCAATTTGGGCTGACGTTGGAGGCGTTCCGAAAAACAATGGTGGGGATGACGTGTTTTACCATGGGAACCATGGGGAAAAACATGGGAAAAACCATAGGTTTATGATGGTTTATGTTTATTTAAAGATGATTTAACCAAGCAAAAGTTCAAACGGAGGTGGCCGACGTCCGGTCTCTCGAGATTTTCACTAATTGTTTGTGGAGAAATGAGCCAAGAATTGAATGAGTATATATATAATACGGGAGATAGTTGGGCATGAATTATGACAAACATATATGCCAGGTTTATGTTTTCTTCAGCAACACATGAGAATTTACAAACAAACCATCGGACATGCATAGTTATTATTTACTGTAACCATTGCGTGTCGTTTTCCATGGGAGAACAAACATGGGAATGGGAATTTCACCAACCTTTTAAGACATGATTTGCTGCTGGACGTCAGCAACAGAGATGGTTACCTGGAACTCCTCATCTGCTCTGGGGATATCCACTTACCCAGATTCAATCTGAATACCATCTGGTAAACGTTTACAGTTTGCTATTGAAAATGGCCCAATCGAAATAGTGGATTTACCCATGAATAGCATGGTGATTTTCAACAGCAAACTGTTAGTTTACTAGGCCGGGTATCATTCATAGGTTTCTCCATAGCATGGGTCAATCTTGGTAGGCGAATTGGTGGGTCTCTACGGTGTAGAGTCGTTCCCCAGAACCACATGACTTTCAGATGTTTTCGATAAATAAAACCCATGTGGTGTCCTAAGTCATGGGGGTACCCCCCGTCATCCTGATTTTTTTCTTGGGATTTTCCCATGGACATAAACTATCCAGCTGTTGGGCCGACGAAATCCGGGACGTGAAAAATCCAGAGCTCCTGTTATGGTCCTGTTGGCCCTTGGTACAGTAGAACCAACTTGAGGAGTTTAGTGAGATTTTGCTATTTGTTGTGGAAACTTATTTTTTTGTATATCTCAACCAAATGCAAGGGAACATTTGCAGGAAAACCTTCTAAGATCTTGCTTCAGATCAAACCTTTGAACATGATATTTTGAAGTATATTAAAGCAGGTAAAGCTGGCAACAAATCCATAAGATATGTCTGATCGGATATCAACTTAAATGGAACCGCCATGAACAGTTCCTGCACAAATCCATATCATAGATATGTATATAGCTTATAAAATTATAAATATGGCTACGAGTCAAAATGTAAAGCCCCGATCCATACCCTGAACCCACAGGCCGATCCATACCCCCGATCCATACCAAAACCCAAGTGATCCAGACCGATCCATACGTCTGGATCACCGCGGGCCGATCCATACCCGAATTTTGACGCAATTCCATATAAACATTTATAAACCACTGGTTGGTGGTTTCAAACATTTGGATTTTTACATCATATATTGGGAATAATAATCCCAACTGACTATTTTTTTTATATTTTTCAGAGGGGTAGGGCTCAACCACCAACCAGCCATAACTATGGACAATCACCATTTTCCATGGGAAAATCATGAGAAACCACGATAAACACCATTTTTAACACCATTCACCCATGATTTTCCCGCGCTGCGTAGGTGCTGAGCGATTTGGTGCGTGCCAGCGGACCCGGCAGCAGCGTGTCCTTGCAAGTGGCACAGGATGCCAGGTGCTGTCGATGTCATGGCTGATGTCAGCCGTAATTTCAATGTTTTTAGATGATGTTAAGATGATATACAGGTAGCATTTTGAGCTGTTTCCATTATGCGGTATATGATAATACATGTATATGAGTATATAACTATGTATGTATTTGTTTATTTATCATATTACTTTGTCATATCATGGAATCGTCATGATATTTCACCATTGATTCAAGGATGATATTAATGATATAATTTGATATCATGATTCGCATCATTTCCCATATGTTCATAGTATCATGGGAATTGTATTCAAAAACGAGAAAGTCAACATATGATCATGTCATGCCTTTTGTGTTTCATGGATTTTTTCCTTACGTTTGAGGCATTTTGAGGGAGAGCCCATGGTAGTAGTTCGATTCCAGAGATTTTTCGCAGGGGATGGGCTTTTCGTGGCCTAAATGCTGCCCTGAAAAGTGGCCCAGGGTTTGGGGGGAGGGGTTAAAAACAAATTTTTCCGGATCAAGAAAAAAAATTTCCGGATCAAAAACAAAAATCCGGATCAAAAAAAACACGATATAAAAACAATAGCAACTAGTAGGAGGGAAGGAAAGGAAAAGGAAAGAAAAGGAAAGGAAAGGAAGGGAAGGGGAGGAAGGGGAGGAAGGAAGGAAGGAAGGAAGGCAGGAAGGAAGGAAGGAAGGGAAGCAAGGAAGGAAGTTTTGTTGTGCAGAACAAGCACCCTGAAAACCATGTAAAATTATTGAAACCATGGAAAAACCAATAAGGTATTCATGTATAATTAAATGCATCCATGTAAGTATAGTCATTTAAATGTACATGTTGTATCCCTAAATGAACCCTAAACAAAACCTAAACGTAGCCTAAACCAACCCTAAAGAAACCTGCAACCAACCTTAAATAGACCCTCAACTAGCAGCAGACACCCCTGAATACCATATGTAACCTACAGCATTTCACGGGAGAACAGGTATAGTCATTCTGCTTTGGGGGGAGGCGCTGCGCCCTCCCCCCAAT